TTGATGGATTAGTTGGAAATTTTTTGAACTCTTTTCTAATGAGATGAGTCAATGACTCACAATCTGTTTACCGTTTTCATTGAGCAATATATGTAAGCACCACAATTAACAGTAGTTTATTAATCAATATACTCTTTATTGCAATAATAGTAATAACTGTATCATGTAAATAATTTATCGTGGCGGGGCAAGTATAAAATTTGAATTATTTCTATCATCACTACTCTCATTCAGTCACTCACAAAACACGAACAAAGCACCTGAACTTGGAGATAGATATGGTGCGCTGAATAAGTGCCACTGAATTATTGAATGTATTAAACTTAATTACGGCAACTAATTACTACAGTAATATATACTATTACGGTACCGTACGAACATACCGTACCGACACACGGAAAAAATATCGTCATGGACGTGAAATCACACAGGATTCGGTTGCCGAGACTGCACAAAATATCGAAGAAATATAGAATAACAATACACTATAATCGAATATCGATGAGCAAACACCTTAAGGCACGTGGGTGGGTAAAAAAAACACAACACAAGAGTGTTTAGCAGTACTAGTTAAGTAGTTGGATGGGAATATGTACTCGAATTAACAGATCTAAGCCGATTGATGATGAATAGAATTGGCCGCGTGAATCATCACGAGTGAACTGGACATGTGGGCGGGGTCTCCGAGGCTACCGCTCGTTCCTCATTTGCGGGCCAAAGCTCCAAAAACAAGTAGGGGCTCCACCCACACGCCCAGAGACTCCGCCCACATGCCAACTGTACTTCAGGGTCTTCATGTTAAATAATGTTGTAACAATAAGCATGACGCGATCTCGAATTCAAAAACAAAAAAAAAATGAAAAAAGTGTAGTTATAGTAACCGCGATGCCAGGAAGGACTCCGTTATTGTGAATCTCGTGACACGGTGATATGTACGGCACCTTGTATGGAACGTAATCGTTCCAGAATCGCTGTTGGTGTCAAATCGGTGACACTCTCACCGTCCAACGACAACAGACGGTCACCCACACGTAGACTGCCTGGAAAGACAAATTTTGAGGTATCAGGTCTGAGCAACAAGTCTTGCTCGAACTGAGGTGCGATTCACCACCGCCGCAAAAACTGGTTCTTATTTAGGTCACAGGAACGAGCTTCGGGAAGAGAGGACGCCTAACAGATATTCCGGTGTGAAACGTCCTTCCCGCCATGGACGGCTTTTTTAGGGCAATAGAGGTAAGAAGATAGGTGAGGCTAAAGCGCGTTGTCACTTTGCAGTCCGTTCGCGCGAATCGCGCGTCTGGCTAGCTCATGCGACCGGGTAGCGCGACCAGGAGCGGGACTGCTGCGCCCTAATGACAGAATTTGAATTGGGCTGCGTTCATGCATTACGTGAACACGGCGCAACTGGAATTCTGCCATTGTGGCGGTGCACGGATTCGCGATGGAGCCAACGATGACCAATCACTCGAGCTATCCAATCACGGTATCAAGCGATCGGATCGCGAAGTATGAACGCGCTCTCAGATCATCAGATTTCAAGTTGGAAGGCTCCTACATGATCCCAGCGGCAGTGCTGAACGACGATGATTCGCGATGGCACATAATGTGCCTCGCCCCTCCAGCGATTCCCTACGAGGACAAACACCTGAAAAATTAAAACTGCGCTGAACTACAGGAAACTCACCTTCCATAGCAGCAGCTGAGTTCACAGCGATCATTCTGATGAAAATCCCATCAGAGCCGGTTCTTTTCGCTAGCGACAGTCCTGAAATTAGTAACACAGTACCGGATTCAGTAATAGATTAGAGGGGAGGGTAACGGAGCACTGAATGAAAGTGAAAGAACATAGCATGTGCACGTCGTTCATGTGGCGGAGACATTCAAACCAAACTGCTCCCTATTGAGAGCCTCTTTTTGGAACGGTCACAAAGACTGTGTACACCCATGCCTCCTATCATCTGATGCAGTAAAGAGTAGGGATATAATGAAGAAGAGCAACATTGTTACGCATTGCCCGACTCCGCCCATGCGATTGACGTGGAACTTTCCTTCAATCCGTGAATGTTCGTGTTCACTTACCCAATGAACCTTCGGGCTTTTTCTCGAGCACAGCGGTAATGATGTTGCCGTTTTTCTGCGTTTCCCGTCGTAATCCCAATGTCACAACGTTGCCACCACTGCGCAGCATTGACACCACTTCTTGGTGCGTTTTATTGGACACTGGCTCGCCATTCACCTGTAATTATATTGAATCTATCCTTTCTAGGAAAGACTATATTTTGGACTAAATTTCCTAGTATAGTACAGTGAACTCACATAGATAAGGGCGTCACCGACATGAATGTCTGGGTGGCTTGCGGCTGGTTCAGCTGTCAACTGCTTGATGCAGACACGCCCACTTACGGACGCGATTTGGACACCCAGTGAGCCGACGGAGTTGCGCTCCAGCTCCACCTAAACATAGGCTTGTTCATTCTTCAAAAACTTTATGGTCAGAATACAACAGCTGTATGAATGCATTTTTCATGATCGTCTAGGCGGAGACATCCAACACGAGTCTTACCTGCTGGCGCGCCCCTTCTCTTTATGATATTAGAAGGAGGGGCAGGCCAGTGAGGAAGTCACAGGGGTTGTCTGTCTCCGCCCACATAATCAGCGTAACTGTGTCATTGATGCTGCGTTCATACTTCATGACTCGGGCGGTTGCCCGGTCGCGCGACCGCATCCTACCGCTAATCAATGGGCAACGAAAACGCCGAAAGAAGTTCTTCCGTGCATATGACCTAACAAGAGGTTACACCGTCTCATTGACAGAATAGTGCGGTCGGTCACAGTCGCGCGATTTGGGAATCATTCTAGACGCGAAGTAATAAACGCGGCCTGAGATCGACTGAACTTACATAGATGATGTCATCTTCTGCCTCAGTTTCTTCACCAACTTCTTCTAGCTCATCTGTCCACTCCAGATTGGATTTCCTAAATGGGTAAGAGTGAAAGTTTTTTGAACACTCACATGGAACTAATGATCTTCCCTCTTGCAGTGATTTAATATGAGACACTTTCGGAGCATGGGCGGAGTCAGTCCCGCCTCCATGGCTTCTTTATTGGTGCGCCATCATTTCCTGATATGGCGCGAAGAGGA